ATGAGTGCAATTGTGTGGTAGTTTGAGCATTCTTTGGCATTGCCTTTCTTTGGGATTGGAATGAAAACGGACCTTTTCCAGTCCTATGGCCACTGCTCAGTTTTCCAAATTTGCTGGCATATTGAATGCAGCACTTTCATAGCGTCATCTTTCAGGATTTGAAATAGCTCAACTGGAATTTCATTACCTCCACTAGCTTTGTTCATAGTGATGCTTCCTAAGGCCCACTTGACTTCACATACCAGGATGTCTGGCTCTAGGTGAGTGATCACACCATGGTGTGTTATCTGGGTCGTGAAGATCTTTTTTGTACAGTTCTTCTGTGTATTCTTGCCACATCTTCTTAATATCTTCTGTTAGGTCCATACCATTTCTGTCCTTTATTGAGCCCATCTTTGCATGAAATATTCCCTTGGTAGCTCTTATTTTCTTGAAGAGATCTCTGGTCTTTCCCATTCTATTTTCTTCCTCTATTTCTTTGCACTGATCACTGAGGAAGGCTTTCTTATCTCTCCTTGCTGTTCTTTGGAACTCTGCATTCAATGGGAATATCTTTCCTTTTCTCCTTTGCTTTTCGCTTCCCTTGTTTTCACAGCTATTTGTAAGACCTCCTCAGACAGCCATTTTGCTTTTTTGCATTTCTTTTTCTTGGGGATGATCTTGATTCCTGTCTCCTGTACAGTGAGAGAAGGACATTGGTGTATTTTAATTTAAAAAAATCCATTTAACTCCTTATCACTCTGCATTCAAAACCACTTGTCAAAACCACTTTGCCTTTTGCGTGGGCTATCAGGTTGAGGATTATTTTTAGTGACTCACTTGCAAACTCGGACAGCCAAGAATCAGAGAAAAACTTAAAGCAGAGCATTCGTTTACAAATTAATGTGAAGTAACAGAAAATTAGGGGCTTCTCTGTTGGCTTAGCGGTAAAGAATCCTCCTGTGATGCAGGAGACACAGGTTTGAACCCTGGATCAGGAAGATCTCCTGGAGAAGGAAATGGCAACCCACTCCAGTTTTCTTGCCTGGAAAATCCCAGCTCTCAGAGGAGCCTGGTGGGCTACAGTCCATGGGGTTGCAAAGAGTTGGACACGGCTGGGTGACTAAACAACAATAGAAAATTAAGCAACACAGTAAATCTATAAAAATCATCTTCAGAAAATGAAAAAAAAGGACATTGTTTAACAGTAGAATATGGCTCAGATATAACATTTTTAAATGGTTATAATAATATAAATACTTAATTAACCAAAATGTGTGATATTGTTACCAAATCCAAGCATGTTCTGCTTGCTACATGAGAGGCCAGTAATCAGGAGGCAAGATGTTGATGCAAGGAATAGCAGCTCCATTCGAAAAGCTGGGCATCTAAGAAGATGGTGGGCTGGAGTCCTAGAGAACCATCTTATCAGGGTCTGGATGCAGGTTTCTTTCATAGAACACAGGGGAGAGGAGGTGAGAAGGTTAAGTAAAAAGGCCATATGCCTTGGAAAATATCTCCAGGCTTGGCCCACATTGGGGAGGGGATGTGTTAATTTCTTTTTTTCTGCAGACTTTTATAGGTGAGCAAGGTCAGAATGTCTCCCTGTGAGCTGAACAAAGGCACTTTAGTTGAATATTCAGGCAGAAGGGCAGGGTTCCCCAGGCAGGCTATTATGTATGCTTAGGGCTATAGACAGCATCCTTTTGTGATTATAGTAACAAAAGCAAAGAAAAGCAAAGGCTACAATAAAAGAAACAGATTCAATATGGAGTCAGATTTTGCTGTTCTCTGTTATAGTATTATCATAGCAGGGAGGTGGAGAAAGAAATGTGTTTATAATCACTATAAGAGAAATTAGTGTTCATCTTCTGTAGTATGAAGTTTCCAGACAGTGTCCACTGTTTTAAAATTCAAGAAATATCTATTAGAGCATATATGAACTGACTTAACTGTGCCTAGCACATAATTCTTTGTTTTCAAGGTCATTCTAATTTTAGCTCTAAGTAAATCCTGATCGTTTTGATCCCTGATATGGATCTCCACTCTTGATTACTCTACACTGACATAAAAATGTGATTTTCTTCTAATTAAAAAATTAAAAGTATAACATACAGTATTTACTATGTGCCATTTTCTCTACTATGTGTCTAAGTTTATGGTCTCAGTTAATCCTTAGAACAACTAGTGACAAAGCTATTACTACTACCTCATTTTACACATGATAAGAATGAGCCTCAGGAAGTGTGCATAGTTTTCTTTAATTGGTGTTGCAATGATGCTAGCTAGAAATATCGAAGCATTTTCCAGAAGAAATAGCAAAACAATTTCAAAATATCTGCCTCAAAGAGTAGAAATTAGGAATGGAGAAGGAAGTGTATCAATAATCACTTGCTGTATAACAAACCACCTTATAACTTAAAAGCTTAAAAACAACTGAACCTTTTTCTGTTGGATCTTCAGTTTGGGCAGGGCTTGGCAGGAACAGCTTTGCTCCTTGTAGGATCAGCTGGGAGGAGCTTTCAGGGGGTTGGAGGATCCACAGTTCTAGCAAATTTGAGAAAATACTGGAAAATGGAAGTATTGGAAAGTGTGGAAAATTTTGGAAAGTGCATTTATGTGTGCGTGTGTGTGTTTGCACCCAGCAGTATTTGCTTTTCATCCAACATCTGATTATCCAGAGTAGCATGATAAGAAATGACCACCACATTCCAGGGCTAATGTCAGGCTGTCTTAGAAAGCCCCAGCCTTGAATTCCTGTGATGTTAGGATTCATAACTATAAAAGGTTTGCAACTGTTGCAGATAAATAAAGAACACATGTGAAATTGAATATCAGAGCCAAATGCAGTGGTGTTACATGTTCATCGTTCAGTGATACATCTAGACAGGTGCTACAGAGCTGAGGCTATGAACATCAATCAGCAGGAATCATAGCAGAGCCCCTAGGATCCCTGACACCAGCATGACACAGATGAGATTCTGCAGCTGTCAGAAGAGCTGGTGCTGGAAGCTGCATTCCATGGCTTTTCGGTGATTGACAGGTCTCTTCCAGATGCCTTGGGATTTTGTTGCCATCTGGCATTGTTCATGTCCCTTATCTTCTGAGTGTTTTATGATGATTAACTGATTACACTCCAGAAAGCCAGCATGGAGAAGACAGGAGCAGTAGCAATCACTCCCTTTCAGTCAAAGGTGGAGAAATACTCAAGCACTGGGGAGTTAGATGACTCAAACAAGATCACAGTGTCTTAGATTCTGATAGCAGGTGATATGTTCATTTCTTATTTCATATTGTTGAACAATGGTATGGGCTGGGACCCAAGTTAAATATTGAACTTAGAGGAATGAATAAGATGACAGACTGCCCTTGTGGACCTCCCAGATTTACAGAGAAAAATATATACACTTGATATGTTGGAGGAGAGAGGTGTGTAAAAAGCACAGTGAAAGCACATGGGAGCTTGCTAGACAGGATTCAAGAATGCAGCATTTGTCTTCAGTTGTCATATCCAGTGTGAATTTGCCCTTAAGGTGGTCATGTATGTTTGTTTGAGATTTGTTGTTCAGTTGCTAAGTCTTGTCCGACACTTTGCGACCCCATGGACTACAGAACTCTAGGCTTCCCTGTCCTTCACCATCTCCCAGAGCTTGCTCAAACTCATATACTTTGAGTCAGTCATGCCATCCAACCATCTCATGTGCTTTTGCCCACTTTTCCTCCTGCCCTCAGTCTTTCCCAGCATCAAAGTCTTTTCCAAGGAGTTGGCTGTTTGCATCAGGTGACCAAAGTTTTGGAGCTTTAGCTTCAGCATCAGTCCTTCCAGTGAATGTTCAGGTTTGGTTTTGTTTAGGATTGACTGGTTTGATTTTCTTGCTGTCCAAGGGAATCTCAAGAGTCTGTTCCAGCACCACAGTTCAAAAGCATCAATTCTTCAGTGCTCAGCCTTCTTTATAGTCCAGCACTCACATCTGTACATGACTACTGGAAAAACCATAGCTTTGACTATAAGGACCTTTGTCAGCAGACTGACGACTCTGCTTTTTAATATGCTGTCTAGGTTTGTCATAGCTTTTGTTTATTTTATGACTGCAGTCACTGTCCACAGTGATTTTGGAGCCCAAGAAATTAAAATCTGCCACTGTTTCCATTTTTTTCCCACCTATTTGCCATGAAGTGATGGGACCAGATGCCATGATTTTAATTTTTTTAATGTTGAGTTTTAAGCCAGCTTTTTCCCTCTCCTTTCACTTTCATCAAGAGGCTCTCTAGTTCCTCTTTGCTTTCTGCCATTAGGGTGGTATCATCTGCATATTTGAGGTTGTTGATATTTTTCCTGGCAATCTTGATCCCAGCTTGTGATTCATCTAGCCTAGCATTTCACATGATGTACTCTGCATATACGTTCAATAAGCAGGATGACAATATATGTCCTTGATGTATCCCCTTCCCAATTTTGAACCAGTCGTTCCGTGCCCAGTTCTAACTGTTGCTTCTGGTCATACATACAGGTTTCTCAGGAGGCTGGTAAGGTGGTCTGGTATTCCCATCTCTTTAAGAATTTTCTACATTTTGTTGTGATTCACACAAAGACTTTAGTGTAGTCAATGAAGCAGAAGTAGATGTTTTTCTGGAATTCTCTTGCTTTTTGTGTGATCCAACAGATGTTGGCAATTTGATTTCTGGTTCCTCTGCCTTTTCTACATCCAACTTGTACATCTACATGTCCTCAATTCTCCTACTGTTGAAGCCTAGCTTGAAGGATTTTGAGCATTACCTTGCTAGCATGTGAGATGAGTACAATTGTTTGGTAGTTTGAACATTCTTTGACATTGCCCTTCTTTGGGATTGGAATGAAAACTGACCTTTTTCAGTTCTGGGGCCACTGTTGAGTTTTCCAAATACGCTGGCGTATTGAGTACAGCACTTTACCAGCATCATCTTTTAAGATTTGAAATAGCTCAGCTGGAATCATCTCCACTAACTTTGTTCATAGTAATCTTTCCTAAGGCCCACAAGACTTCACACTCTAGGATGTAAGGCTCTAGGTGAGGTGAGTTATATTATCATGGTTATCTTGGTCATTAAGACCTTTTTTGTATGGTTCTTCTGTGTATTCTTGCCAGCTCTTCTTAATATCTTCTGCTTCTGTTAGGTCCATGCCATTTCTGTCCTTTATTGTGCCCATCTTTACATGAAATGTTCCCTTGGTATCTGTGATTTTCTTGAAGAGATCTCTAGTCTTTCCAATTCTATTGTTTTCTTCTATTTTGTTGCATTGTTCACTTAAGAAGGCTTTCGTATCTCTCTTGCTATTCCTTGGAATTCTGCATTCAGTTGGCTATATTTTTCCCTTTCTCCTTTGACTTTTGCCTCTCTTCTTTCCTTGACTATTTGCAAGGCATCCTCGGATAACCACTTTTCCTTCCTGCATTTCTTTTTCTTTGGGATGGTTTCGATCACTGCCTCCTGTACAATATTACAAATCTCCATACATAGTTCTTCAGGTACTCTGTCTAATATATCTAATCCCTTGAATTTGACTGTCACTTCCACTTTATATTCATAAATGATTTGATTTAGATCATACCTGAATGGCCAGTTGTTTTCTCTAGTTCAATTCAGTCGCTCAGTTGTGTCCAACTGTTTGTGACCCCATGAACCGCAGCACGCCAGGCCTGCCTGTCCATCACCGACTCCCGGAGTGCACCCAAACCCATGTCCATTGAGTTGGTGATGCCATCCAACCATCTCATCCTCTCTCATCCCCTTGTCCTCCTGCCTTCAATCTTTCCCAGCAAGGTCTTTTCCAATGAGTCAGTTCTTTCCATCAGGTGGCCAAAGTGTTGGAGCTTCAGCTTCTGCATCAGTTATTCCAATGAGTATTCAGGGCTGATTTCCTTTAGGAATTGACTGGTTTGATCTTCCTGCTGTCTGAAGGACTCTCAAGAGTCTTCTCCAACACCACAGTTCAAAAGCATTAATTCTTCAGTGCTCAGCCTTCTTTATGGTCAAGTCTCACATCCATACATGACTACTGGAAAAACCATAGTTTCAATTATATGGATCCTTGTTGGTAAAGTAGTGTCTCTGCTTTTTAATATGTTGTTTAGGTTTGTCATAGCTTTTCTCCCAAAGAGCAAGCATCTTTTAATTTCATGGCTGCAGTCATCATCTGTAGTGATTTTGGAGCCCAAGATTGATTACATAACTTTCACAGGACTAGAGAAACAGACTCTTGGCAGGCACAAACAAAACCTTGTGTGCACCACGACCCAGGAAAAAGGAGGAGTCATCCCACAAGAGACTGAGCCAGTTGCCTGTGAGTGTCCAGGAATCTCCAGCAGAGGCGTGGGTTGACAGTGGCCTCCCGTGGGGTCGGGGGCACTGAATACAGCAGTCTCGGCATAAGGCCTTTTGAAGGAGGTTGCAGTTACTTCCATTACCCCTACCATAGTTGGCCTCAGGCTAAACTACAGGGAGGGAACACAGCCCCACTAATCAATAGAAAATTGGATAGAAGATTTACCGAGTGTGGCCCTGCCCAAGAGAGCAAGACCCAGATTCCCCCAGAGACAGTCCCTCCCATCAGGAAGATTCCACAAGCCTCTTATCCTTATCCATCAGAGGGCAGACAGAATGGAAACCACAGTTACAGAAAACTAATCAAACTGATCACATGGACCACAGCCTTGTCTAACTCAGTGAAACTCTGAGCCATGCCGTGTAGGGCCACCCAAGACAGACGGGTCATGGTGGAGCGATCTGACAAAACGTGGTCCACTGGAGAAGGGAAGGGCAAACCACTTCATATTCTTGCCTTGAGAACCCATGAATGATATGAAAAGGTTTTCAGTACTTTCTTCAATTTAAGCCTGAATTTGCAATAAGGAGCTCATGACCTGAGTCACAGTCAGCTCCTGATCTTGTTTTTGTAGATTGTATAGAGCTTATCCATCTTCAACTGCAAAGAGTGTAATCAATCTGATTTCAATATTGACCATCTGATGATGTCCATGTGTAGATTCATCTCTTGTGTTATTGGAAGAGGGTGTTTGCTATGTCCAGTGCGTTCTCTTGGCAAAACTCTGTTAGCCTTTGCCCTTCTGCATTTTGTACTCCACGGCCAAATTTGCCTGTTACTTTTAGGTGTCTCTTGACTTCCTGCTTTTGCATTCCAATCCCCTTTGATGAAAGGACACCTTTTTTTTTGAAGTTTGTTCTAGAAGCCTTCATAGAACTGTTCAACTTCAGCTTAGTAGTTGGGACATAGACTTGGATTACTGTGATGCTGAATGGTTTGCCTTGGAAACCATTCTGTCATTTTTCAGATTGCACTCAAGTACTGCATTTCAGGCTGTTTTGTTGAATAATGGAAGGCTATTCTGTTTCTTCTAAAGGAGTCTTGCCCACAGTAGTTGATACAATGGTCATCTGTAATTTAATTGCCCAGTTCCCTCTGTTTTAGTTCACTGATTCCTAAAATGTTCTTGTTCACTTTCGCCATCTCCTGTTTGACCATGTCCAGCTTACCTTGCTTCATGGACCTCTCACTACAGGTTCCTGTGTGGTACTGTTCTACACAGCATCAGGCTTTACTTTAACCACCAGACACATCTTCAACTCGGCATCATCTCCACTGTGGCTCAGCCTCTTCATTCTTTCTGTATGAGACCAAGGGAGAGGAAGAATCAGTTGAAGATGTATAGAAAGCATTGTACAAAAAATGCCTAGGAATGTGACATTGCTCTTGTCTGAAAATTCTTTGTACCAAAAAGTGGGCCATATAGCTACACAATATCCTTGTTATAATTTGCATTTTTTGAACCATGTGGGTGAGACTGGAGTCTTCTTATATCTAGAGAAGAGAGCACTAAATAATTATGACAATTTATTAAAAATGGTTATGTCATCTATAAAAGACATGATGAACTTTTTGCTATAAAACATGTCTTGACCAAGAAGAGAAAAATGAATAGAGAACAATCAATGCTAAGAGGCACGGAAGTAGAGAATCTAGTGATGGCCCATGTTTGGCTTCTGCTCTTTAGACAAAACTGCATGAGAAGGTCCTTTGAACGGTTTAAAAGTAAAATTGAAGATGACCAATTACTCCTCAGTCATGGACTCTTTACACCCAACTTGCTCTGGCCTAGAAATGATCAACTTGAATCAGTTTCTTATTTTTGGCAAATTAACTTCTGCACATTCCGTGCTATATTTCTAATCTTACTTTCTTAGTGTTCACCTTCTTCTTCCATTTATTTTTGTCTTAATTCTCTGTAATCTAGCCAGCTGGCCACCTCTGTTTGTGCTCCAGCCCCCAACACTCATACACATTGTATCAGTTATCCACTGTCACTTAACAAACCACCCCAAACTTGGTAGAATGAAACAAACACAATTTGTTATCTGTGGCCAGGCTGTAGGTTAGTAATTCAGGGAGGGCTCAGCTAGGTGGTTCTTTTGTTCCTGGTGATGCTGACTGAGGTTACTTCAGTGGCTCCAATCAGCTAAGAATTCAGACAGAACTGGAATATTCCTGTTGGACTCTTTATCACTTCGGGTCTCTTTTTAGGTATTCTAATCATTCAGTTCTATAGTTTGGATTTCCTTAAAGCCTGGAGGCTGCACTCCAAAAGGGAAGAAGCACAAGCTGCCTGTCCTCATAAGACCTGGGTTTGGAAATCCCAGAATGTCACTTCCACTGCATTCTGTTGATCAAAGAAAGGTAAAACTGTAGTCTCTGCCCCTTGATGTGAGGAGTGGCATTTGTTTACAAGGAAGGGAGGAACTGTTGGCAGCTCTATGGAGACTGTCTACTAAACATATACACTCAAATTCGATTGCTTCCGGGGATCACAAGTGGCATGCTTCCTAATCAATTATGAACATCTTTTCTCAGATTGTATCCAAGTTTTTTTTTTTTTTTAATTTAATTGGCTTCCAAGGGATGCTATAACAAAGTACTACAAACTGGGTGGCTTAAAACAACAGAAATTAATTCTCTCATAGGTCTGGAGGCCAGAAGTCCAAAATCTAGGTGTTGGTAGAATTGGTTCCTTCTGAGGGCTCCAAGGGAGAATGGGGTTCTACACCTCTTTGTCAGTGTCTGGTGGAGGCCAGCAATCCTTGACATAGCTTGACTGGTAGATGCATCACTCCAATCTCTGCTTCTGTCTTCACATGACATTTCCCCTGTATCTCTGTGTCCATATTTCCCTCTTCTTTTTCTTTCTTTTTTTCAAATATTTCTTTATTTATTTACACTGTGCTGGGTCTTAGTCGTAGCATGTGGGATCTTTCAGTTGCGGCATGCAAACTCTTAGTTGCGGTATGCAGGATCTAGTTCCCCCACCAGAGATTGAACCCAGGCCCTCTGCTTTGGGAGCATGGAATCTTAGCCACTGGACCACCAGGGAAGTCCCAAGATTTCTCTCTCTGTCTCTTTTTATGTTTTTGATGTGGATTATTTTTTTTTAAGTCTTTATTGCCTCTGTTACAGTTGCTTCTGTTTGTTTATGTTTTGGTTTTTGGCCATGAGGCGTGCAGGGTCTCGTTCCTAGACCAGGGATAAAACCCATAGCCCCTGCATTTGAAGGCGAAGCCTTTATCAGTGGCTCACTAGGGAAGTCCCTCTCTCTTCCTACAAGGATACAAGTCCTACTGAGTTAGGGTGTATTCCCAATGACCTCATCTTCATTCGTTTATATTTGCAAAGACTATTTCCAAACAAGGTCACATTCTTAGGCACTGGGAGTTTGGACTTCAGCATATTTTTTGGGAGGACAAAATCAACCTGTCCCACACTTTACCAGGAGGAATGGCAACAGGACTCACACTGGCAGCAACTGGAACTATTTAATACCACCTGCTGGTATCATGTCCAATATTTCAAAATTTTTCTTAACTTACTCTTGAGAATCTTGATAGTGGTCTTATTTTACGTTTCATAGCACCTAACTTGGTGTTAAAAAAAAAATTACAAACACTCGTTGAATCTAGTTAGTTTGGATTACATGACCTCCTGAGTTCATGCATAACAAAGAAGAATGGGGTCATCCCCTTAACAGCCCCATAAATTCATAATTCACACATAAGAAGTCCTGCACAGTTGAAATTGTCTGACAAAGAGCAGTTATGAGCTCTAAGTTCAAAAGTGAGCAAACATCTGCTCTGAGTATAACTGTGTCTCCCAGTAGGAGGCTGGCTTCAGGCTTATTTCAATATGTTGTATTGGAGGGAAATGATTTTATGGAGATGACTGGGAAATAGACACACTGTTTCAATCTGCACAGTTTTTTATAGTACACACTCTTATCTATCTTACTGGCTGATGAATAGTTTAGATTTCTAAATACAAGGCTATTGAGATGTCAAGTTTACTCACACAAAAACAGGGTTCCTCAAGCACTTATGGTCATGGGTCATGACCATCAGCTGGAAAATGTGGTAAACTGCTGACTCTATTCTGGTCCGTGTGGTTCTCCTGTCTTTGTTCTCTCTGGAGGCCGTGGTTTGTAGGCACTGAAGGGGCACCCAGTGTGTTATCTGTTGAGTCAATATTAATGTCATCAACAGAAATCATTGTAGTCGTAAACAGAAGGTGACATGATTTCATGCAATTGTCAACCTACAATTTTCTAGAACATTGCAGTTCAAAATGCAGTGTTTCAACTATTGCAAATGGTCTGTGGTTCCCTGATCCACCTCATTTATTTATTTTTTTTAATTTATTTTTAATCGAAGGATAATTGCTTTTTATTATTGTGTTGGTTTCTGTCAAACCTCATTCATTTTAATGTATCTTTTTAACACTGTTTAACAATGTGACCTTATGGTTATTTGCCTGAACCTCTTCTCCAGCTCTGCTTGAAGTCAAAGGTTGGGTCCAATTCATCACCCTTTGTTTAGTGCATACCTTGCATTTAGTAGAAATCGATATGTGTTCATTAAATTCCATTTAGCAGCTTCAGTGTTTTTCTTTCCTCACCATGTTACAAGTCTTCATGCTCCATTGTTCAGTGCAGACAGTCATTGATGTGATCAAATTCTAAAGCAAGCCTCATTCTCAGTATCATGTTGCCTGAAAAAAATAATTAATATATGAATATATATTAGAAGTAAGAGCTTCTCCTTCAAAAGGTTCTGAGTGGCAATATGGCAGGGGGATAAAGATGACAATTTGAATAGACCTAGGGTTGAATCCAGGCTCGAATGAAATGAGTCATTTCTCGTATAGACTCTGAACTCCCTCATTGCCGAAATGGGGATAATAATGTCTATTGTGTAAGATGACAAGAATGATTAGGTTAGATACTTGATAGTGAGTGCTTAGGGCTCTCAGGTCGCTCAGTGGTGAAGAATCAGCCTGCCAGGGCAGGAGGCTCAAGTTCGATTCTGAGTGGGGAAGATCTCCTGGAAGAGGGCTTGGCACCCCACTCCAGTGTTCTTTCCTGGGAAATGCCATGGACAGAGGAGCCTGGAGGGCTGCAGTCCACGGGGTCGCCAAGAGCCGGACAGGGCTGAAGCGCCTGAGCAGGCATGCAGCACAGTCATGTGTATTTCTGCGACTGCAGCCACATCTACTGCCACAGTGAAAACGGCTGCTGCTGCTACTGAATACAGGTCTAAAGAGAGACTCTCACCCTCCAGTTGCTGCCTTAGTAACTGAAAGTGCATTAGCGGATGCTCTGGGTCAGAAACAAAGGCTCTATGCCCTTAGAAACTGTCATGACAGTGCACATTTCCGATTAGCTGTGATTGAGGAACAGGGGAAGAAGAAATCATGTTTTTTACAAACATAAAGATATAAAGTAAGATAACTCGTGGTTCCAAGGAGCCCTAGTGTTATCTTGTTTGGTTCAGGAAATGCAATTAGCTTGCCAAGGAAGATTTCATTATCATTGTTCATTGTGATTTAGACTGAGAAATCAGGGGAGGAAGGAGGGAAAAAGGGAGTGAGTGAGTCTTGCAGCCTGTGCGTTGCAGGATAGATTTATAAATGCAGCAGGGGCAACACTGCCATGCATCTTGCTCTGTAGCAAATACACCAGGATCACTGTAGGCATTTGGTGAAAACACACAGGCACACACACAGGCACACACACAGGCACACACACACACACACACACACTCCCAGTACATCTTATTGACAGAAGGGGAAGAAACAAGAGAAGAACTCTCCAGAGTTTCAAAGACATGGACAACTTCATCTAAGAACTCAGGGAGAAACTAGAAATTTCAATTTTTGGTGAGCAGCTTATTTGTTCAGCCTCGCAAAGTCTATTTTTCTTCCTGACTGATCCCATTTCCAGACAGAATCATCACATGTCCAGATGCAATTGCCTAAATTGAATACGTGTGACTCACAGCCCTGTTTACATAGTATTCTTTCAGCTCCAGAGACCGAGCTAGTGATTTTGTCATCATCATGGGGACTCAACCGGTCCCCGTCAAACATCCAGGACTCATTTGTTCTTATTAAGAAATAAAATGACTGACCACTTGTGGCCCTGACACACGTGACGAGGGAAAAGGTGTGAAATGGCTGAGAGTTGGGAGAAATGGCTCAGAGGCTTTCAAAATTAATGGTTTCTGAGCCTTATGAACCTGAACTGTTTCTTTTGTACTTCTTTATCTGGAAGTTATTCTATACCCACATCACAGTAGTTTCCACACAGCCCAGTTCAGGTCCAGCACTACCCTGGTCAAAAGTCCTGTCTAGCATTTTTGACTGTCAAGAAGTGATTGTCCAGAAGATGGCATTTGAACTGGCTGCGGTGGTGTGGGTAGGTGTTCTGTAAGGTGGGGCCATGATGCAGATGATCTATGGGAGAATACAGCAGCATGAGCAAAGAGAGGAGGCAGAAGGAATTTGGGGAATAGCAGATAACTACATTGTTGAAATATACTTTCTTGGGTCAAAATAATGCTGCAGTGCTAACAAATTTATCTTTCGAGGTCCTTAAATTAGATCACATTAGATACAGATAGATGATAGATAGATAGATGGAAGAACTAGATTTAAAGAGAAACAGGGAAGACAGAGGAAAGGGGAAAGAGAGAGACAGACAGAAGGTGGGGGAGAGAGAAAATAAGAGTAAGAAATTTAAGAAGAGGACTGTACACAAGGAAATCCAGGATCATGAAAAAGTCTGTGATTTCATGGACACTCACTGCTTTGCCTTTTAATCTGACTTCTACAAGTGAGGCAGGTATTTACGGTTATTGGAAACTTTGGTTCATATTGCAAAGTACAAAATTCTCTGAATTATTTTGTTTTACTTTTCTAGGCTACCTTTATATCACTGCTGCAGAGGTTAAAAAGAATGGGAAAAATTTTGAACTCAAAGCAAAAAATTATCTGTTGCATATGAATTTCAGTCCAGTATTAGGGTCTCTGCCCAGTTTCTGTCCAACACTTGCCCGGGGTCCCTCTGACCCCACTCATCTCATTTTGTCCCCAGTTGCCCATCATCACCTACACATTCAAATCCTCACTTCACCAATCCATGCTTGAATTCATTCAACTTCGTCTCTCAAAACTCTCCCCCAACTAGCTGAACAGTGACCACAGTGGACTCCCTGGAGTTGCCGAAACAAAGTAACCTGGACCTGATTCAGAGCCCTTCAGACCTCAGTTTCTTCACTGCATTTCTATTTCCTTGAACTCGACAGGACTTGCTCTTTCTCTTAATGCAGTTCTCTTAAATGACCTCTCCTAGGGAGACCTGCCCTAATCACACTGGCAAAACAAGCCCCCCGCCCCCCAGTCACTAACATAAATCACTATTAGATGCCTCCACTATTTTCTTTTAGTTTATTGTTAATTGGAGGATAATTGCTTTACACTATTGTGGTGGTTTTCTGCCACGTGTTAGTCACTCAGTCATGTCTGACTCTCTGCAACCCTATGGACTGTAGCCTGCCAGGCTCCTCTGTCTGTGGAATTCTCCAGGCAAGAATACTGGAGTGGGTAGCCATTCCCTTCTCTAGGGGATCTTCCCAACCCAGGGATTGAACATGTGTCTCATTGTCACCCTGATTATTTAACTTACATACAGACTATACCATGCAAAATACTGGGCTGGATGAATCACAAGCTGGAATCAAGATTGCCAGGAGAAATACCAAGAACCTCAGATATGCAAATAATATCACTCTAATGGCAGAAAGTCAAGAGGAACTAAAGAGCCTCTTGATGAAGGTGAAAGGGGAAAGTGAAAAAGATGTCTTAAAACTCAGCCTTCAAAAAACTAAGATCATGGCATCTGGTTCCATCACTTCATGGCAGACAGATGAGGAAAGAGTGGAAAGAGTAATAGATTTTATTTACTTGGGCTCCAAAATCACTGCCAATGGTGACTGCAGCCATAAAATTAAAAGAGGCTCCTTGGAAGAAAAGCTATGACAAACCTAGGCAGTATATTAAAAAGCAGAGATATTACTTTGCCAACAAAAGTGTGTATAGTCCAAAGTATGGTTTTTCCATTAGTCACATATGGATGTGAGAGTTGGACTATAAAGAAAGCTGAGTGCCAAAGAATTGATACTTTTGAATTGTGGTGCTGGAGAATACACTTTATTGAGAGTCCCTAGGACTGGAAGGAGATCAAACTAGTCAATCCTAAAGAAAACCAACCCTGAATATTCATTGGAAGGACTGATGCTGAAGCTCCAATACTTTGGCCACCTGATGCGAAGTGCCAACTCGTGGGAAAAGACCTTGATGCTGGGAAAGATTGAGAGCAGGAGGAGAAGAGGGCGACAGAGGATGAGCTAGTTGGATGGCACCACTGATTTAACGGACATGAGTTTGAACAAACTCCGGGAGATAGTGAAGAACAGGGAAGGCTGGTGTGCTGCAGTCCATGAGGTCACAAAGAGCTGGACGAGACTTAGCAACTGAAAAACACCAACTCCCACATTGCAGGCAGCTTCTTTTCTGCCTGAGCCAGAAGGGAAGCCCAGAGCGTCTCAGGCTTCTGCCATGCATCAGCATGCATCGGCCATAGGTATACATATGATCCCTCTCTCTTGAACCTCCCTCCCGCCACCCCTCCTTCCATCCCACTCCTCTAGGTTGTCACAGAGCGCTGGGTTTGAGCTCTCTGTCTTACACCTAATTCCCGCTGGCTCTCTAGTTTACGTATGGTAATGTGTGCGGGTCCATGCTACTCTCTCATTTCATCCTACCCTCTCCGTCTTGCTGTGTGTTCACAAGTCTGTTCTGTGAATCTGCGTGTCTATTCCTGCCCTGCAGATAGGCTCATAAGTATCATCTTTCTAGATACTATTAATCTATGCATTAATATCAGTATTTGTTTTTCTCTTTCTGACTTATTTCACTCTGTAGCATCTTTTCATGTGTTTATTAGCTATCTGACTAATGACTTCTTTGGAGAAGTGTCTGCTGAGGTCTTCTGCCCATTTTTTTGATTGGGTTGTTTATTTTTCTGATATTGAGCTGCATGAGCTGCTTGTATATTTTGGAGATAAGTGCCTTGTTCGTTGTTTCATTTGCTATTATTTTCTCCCATTCAAAGGGTTGTCTTTTCACCTTATTTATAGTTTCCTTTGCTGTGCAAAAAGCTTTTAAGTTTAATTAGGTCCCATTTGTTTATTTTTGTTTTGTATTTCCATTACTCTAGGAGGTGGGTCATAGAGGATCTTGCTGTGATTTATGCCAAAGAGTGTTCTGCCTATGTTTTCCTTGAAGAGTTTTAGAGTTTCTGGCCTTACATTTAAGTCTTTAGTCCATTTTGAGTTTATTTTTATGTATAGTGTTAGGAAGTGTTCTAATTTCACTCTTCTACCCATAACTGTCGAGTTTTCCCAGCACCACTTCATGAAGAGATTATCTTTCCTCCACTGTATGTTTTTGCTCCCTTTGCTCCCACAAAAATAAGGTGCCCATAGGTGCATGGGTTTATCTCTGGGCTTTCTGTCCCTCCACTGTTTTAGATGATCTCATTTATTCTGTTGTCTGCTTGCTGCCTGTTTTGTAGACAGTGATAACTGATTGTAAAGTTTTATGGAAAGGCGCGAAACCTTGACGGAGCATCAAAACGCTGAAGAGGAGCAAAGATGGAAGAGCGGCCGCTGACATGGAGGCTGCCTATAAGGCTGCAGCGATCAGAGCAGCATGGTGTGATTGCTGGAACAGAGTCATAGGCCAGTGCAGCCAAATCCCATGCCTGGAAACCGACTCACGCAAATGCTCTGCAGAAGCTCTGCTCCCAAGGAGGTGGAGCATAGCTGAGCATAGTAACTTCCGGAAAGAGCACGGAAACAGCAGAAAGGAGAGACGAGCTTTACTGTGGATAAACCTGACACACACTCAGCCAGGTCCTAAAGGTCAACACCATGGTATTACGTCATGTGCATTGGATGTGCACTTGCTGATTTGATGAAATTGACACTTTACCGTGTGACCTTGTCCCAAAACTCAAAACCCCAGTCTAATTATGAGGAAGACATCAGAAAAATCTCACTGGAAGCATATTCCTCAAAATGCCAGAGCATCAGTTTTCAAACGTGCAAAGGTGATCAAAAGCAAGACAAGACCAAGGGACTGTTAAAACCAAGAAGAACCTCAGGAGACATGACTCCTAAATTAATATGGTACCCTTGACGGGATCCAGGAAACAGAAAATTGACAGGTGAGAACTAAGGAGGTGGGAATACAGTGTAAACTTCAGTGACTAAGGATGTATCAGTGCTACTTCATTAACTGTGATAAGTGTACCATAGCCATAGAAGATGTTAATCGTGGAGGACCCCGGGTGTGACATGTATGCAAGCACTCTGTATTATGTTTGCAATAATTTTGTCACTCTAAAACTGTTCCCCAATAAAAGTTCATTAAAACTGGCAAACTCTACAGTGTCTTCCTTTGTGAAATTAATATGAACATGAGAATATTCAGAGCTGTAAGAGGACATCCAAAAATAAACAAAGACAGTTGAAAGCGTTAGTACCACCCAGGTGATTAGGACTTTGTCACTATTGCAGTCCTTCATTCCATGCTGTGTTTCAGAACTACACATTCTAGAATGTTAGGTTGCAAATTTTCCCTAAAAGTTTTCATATATGCTCACTCTTCACTGTCTCCTCATCTTTCTGTAAGTTGCTTCTTGTACCAAGAATAGCCTTCCACATTAACAGTGAGAAGTTAAATTCACCAATACCTTAATGCCCAGCAAGAAGGCTGCATCATCATCCATCCACTTGCCCCTAACCCTCCCATCCAATCTTCCCAAGTAGTTATCAAGCTCCAGAATTTTTCACGGTATCTTTCACACAGCCTGACTTTTTCCTCATTTTTGTCCATGTCTTATCCTGTCTCTGAAAAATATAATCTTGATTGCAGGACCCAAGGCTGATTCATCTTTCTGTTCTCTCACAGCCCCTTGCCCAAAGCAGAGAGTTGTTCTAATGGTGGGTATTCAGTAGATTATCTGCTCCATTTATAAAGGAAAAAGCGCAGTTCGATCCTATGATACAGTCTCAATTGTGTCTTAATTTCTAACCATACAGGATAGGTGGACCCTGAGAGATTAATTTTCCATGAGCAAGGCGATTGATGTCAAAGAGGCAAAAAATAAAAGCAACGTGGGCTTCACTTCTGACTTTGACACATGCATTTTCTTGGACCTCTGGACGTCCAAGTCTCCCCTGCAAGCTTTGATGCATCACTTCACCACTAATGAAGATCTTCTTCAAACTCTTCTTATTCACACTTCCAGCTTCCCCTGAAAGATCCGAACAAATGTCAGTTGCTTCCTGTTTGAGTTCATCACTCAAGATGCCTGACAGCATCCAATTTGAATGAACGCCACCAGCGTGCCCAGACCCTGTATTGCAGCTCACACCCCTTCTTGGCTCATGGCCCATGCCAACACCACTTCAATGATGTGGCTACAACAGAATCTGTTAAATAGATGTAATCACAAGCTACCCTCCACTTAACAGTCAATCGATTCAGCTGACATGATGTGACGTCCTTTTGCCTAGGTGTTTACATCCTTATAACTGTTCACGGTGGTCTGTAAAATCTTAATCAGGTCAGTGGCTTGTTGGAAACACGTGCAGGGGTTATGTTCCTTGTTCCACCATCCAAGGTTTAAAAAAGGTCTCATTATTTATCTAAATCAAATCAGATGGAGGTCTGAGCCTGTACTTCCCTGGGTGACAAGAGATTCAAACTCAGTCATGTTTGAGGATTCCCTTTTTCTGGGGCTGCCAAAAAGTGTTGAGTGAAATGAGGGTGTGGGGGTAGATGAGTTTAGAGATAAAGTCATTATAATTGTCTCTTAAATGCTCCTTCCTTATCTGAACTCAGGAGTTGCCTCCAAGGTAGATAGCTTCCCCCTGCTGCTGCTGCTGCTGCTTTTTTTTAATTGTTTGTTGAAAAAGAGTTGATTTACAGTTTTTCAGGTATATAACAAAGTGATTCAGTTACACATGGAGAAGGGGGTGACAGAGGACGAGATGACTGAATGGCGTCAGTGACTCAATGGACATGAGTTTGAACAAACTCCGGGAGATAGTGAAAGACAGGGAAGCCTGGCATGCTGCAGTCCATGGGGTTGCAAAGAGTTGGACACGACTGAGTGACTGAACAATATAAATATGTGTATTCTTTTTCATTATGGTTTGTTACAAGATATTAAACAGAGTTCCCTGTGGTATACAGTCGGACCTTGTTTACCTGTTTTATATGTGGTGTGTCTGTTACTCTCAAATTCCAGATTCAGTGATAGAATTCTCACCTGCCTCCTGCTTCTTAAATGGGCATCTTTTGGGGGTACATCTCACTGCTACTAAGAAATAGCTACATAATTTGGAGGGCTCACTGTGAAAAAGAAACTTCAGGACCTCTTATTTAAATTTATTAAGAATTTTAAGATAGAGCAGAGTTTTATTTTTTAAGTTAAAAAATGTATGTATATATTTACTTTTGGCTGCGCTGGGCCTTCAGTATTGCGTGTGGGCTTTCTCTCGTTGCAGCAAGCAGGGGATGCTCTCTTTAGTTGCAGTACACGGGCTCCTCGTTGCGGTGGCTTCTCTAGCTGGGGAGCACGGGCTCTAGGCACTTGGGCCTCAGCAGTTGCAGCTCATGGGCTTAGTTGCTCTGTGGCATGTGGGATCTTCCAAGACCAGGGATCGAACCCATGTCTCTTGCAGTGGCAGGTGGATTCTTAACCACTGGACCACCAGGGAAGTCCCAAGAGCAGAGTTTTAAAGCGAGTGCAAGTCCTTGTAAGGATGGGCTTCTTGGAGACTGCTCAGATCATGTTTCCATGAAGCCTGCTTCGCCACCGCTGTCCTCTATGTCAGAACTCTGGGTGGCACTTCCTGGTGGTCCAGTGCTTGAAACTATGTGCTTTGACTGCAGGGGGCATGAGTTTGATCCTTGGTTGGGGAAGTTCCACATACCTCACAGTGTGCACCACCTGCCCAAGGAAAAGAGAACCCTGGGTCATCCCTGGTCACCTGATCAGAGTTCCTGTGAGTCTGGCTCCCGAAGGAAATAAGTAGGTTCTTGTTGATTCCAAGGTTCACAAAACCCAGCTACTCTTTTCTAAACTTAGGCATTTTCCCTTCATTTTGGGAAATTTCCTTCCCTTCCCCCACCCCAGTTTTGTTTTTTTTTTTCCCCACCCCAGTTTTGCACCACCCAGTTTTGCATAAGCCCTTCCCTTGGACAGTCCGGCTGTTTGTCTTCTTGAACTTTAGGTTGTGAGAGCAAAGCCTCCTAAACTTGCCTTGGAGCACTGGAAGTGGCAGGTCTGTGACAGTGAGCCCAGTGGGGTCCCGCAGCATCACCTGGAAGCTGATTAGAAATGCAGAATCTCGTTGTCATATTCAGTGAAGTCAGTCAGAAACAGTAAGATAAATATCAGATGATATCACTTATATGTGGAATCTGAAATATGACACCAGTGAAGTTATCTACAAAACGGAAACAGACTCACAGACATAGGAAACAAACTTATGGTGATGGAAGGGGCAGGGGAAGGATCAGTTAGGAACTTGGGCTTAGCAGATACCAACTGTTGTGTATAAAATGGGTAAACAACAAGGTCCTACCGTATAGCACAGGGAACTATATTCAGTATCCTGTAATAAGCCATATAGGAAAGAATATGAAAAAGAATATATATGTATAACTGAATCACTTTCTGTATACTAGAAACTAACACAATATTATAAATCAACTATACTTCAATTTTTAAAAATTGCATGTAGAATCTCAGATGCTAGCCAGATCTGCTGAATCAGAATAAGCATTTTTATGAGATTCCCAACTCTAGGGCTCAAAGCATTGCCAATTCTTCTTGGATTAGGAGGGACAAAAGATAATTTGTTCTTGTGTTCAACGCTAAGATAAACATACAAGCTAGTTAGCCAGCCTAATATTGGTAGCTATAAATTAACAACAGATTGAAGCCTTTGGTATACAGCAAGAAGTTACAGAGGCTGATTCTTCCAAAGGCCAGGAAGGTAACCTAGATGCAGGAAGCTGGCTGTGGGTGAGGTGGTAAGGAGCGTTTGCATGGGAGGCGGGCTGGGGAAACCTTCTCTTCCTCCGCTGCTAAAGTGGAGCGGCAGGGGTCCAGTGCTGTGGCTCTCCTGATGCTCCAGAGAAGGTGCGAGTTTGAACTTTACTGGAAAGCTAGCAACTAGTACAAAACGTTGTACTAGTTCATTTTGTTAAAATGAAAACATTTTAAGGGCCAAATAAAGCACACTTAAAGACATATTCAGGGTGGCAGTGTAATCGCTCATACAGGATTTTATAATAGATTTTTTTTCTTTTTAATTTATTTACTTAACTGTGCCAGGTCTTAGTTGCAGCATGAGGACTCTCGTTCCCTGACTGGAGATCGAACCCAGGCCCCTGGCGTTGGGAGCTCAGGGTCTTAACCAGCGAAGCACCAGAGAAGTCCCTGTAATAGTTAGTTTTGCACAGGCATTTGGAAGACAGAGTGAAGCTGCCATCACTCATTGTAATCTTAAATAGATTACATGGCATCCTTTTTCTTCGATTTTTCTCATTCATAAAATCTAACCTACATAAAATCTGCAGTCTCAGATTAGAAGAAATGGTATGTGTATGCAGAGTTCTGGGTTTCCTGGGGAAGCATCAGTAGATTGTTACTAAATTGTCTGCAGTTAGGATCCTCTATATCTATGTGCCAAATGATGCAGCTTTGCAGTTCATCTCATCAAGAGTTGAAGACTGTTTCTCCTCTTCTTTAATCTGGCCCTTGTGTTTTGCTTTGCTTAATATTGGGTTGGCCAGAGTTCAATCAGATTTTCCCATGAAGTGTTTTGGGAAAACCCAAACACAGTTTCTGGCCACCCCAATAGAATGTGGTGGAAGGGTGTCAGTTTTGAGCCTAACTCCTTCCTCTTCTGGTGTCTCTTTGCTGCCTGGAGAATAATCGGAATAACCTACTGGAGGCTGAGCCAGCACATGGAACAGATAAAATCCATCCTAGCTAATGCCTTCTGGCCCCATCAGCCCAGCAGCTGATTGAACTGATCCATGAGCTCAGCCAAATAACTCAAAACATTGTGTCATTTTCTTTGTAGTAATCTTGTTTTGGTTTTGCTGAACTTCTTGAAACCGTGGGTTTATAATTTTTAGCATGTTAGGGAAAATCTTGAGAGTTTAATTATCGCATCTCTCAGTCATCTTCTTCTAGGACTACTGTGTCAGGCCGTCTGCATCCTACACATTTCCTACGCTCTCCCGCCCTTTCTATACTTTTTGTGCATGTATGCTTTAATTTTAATATATTTTTTATCTGTCTGTGAGTTCACTAATTCTGTCTTCTGCTCAGCATATCTTTCCACCCATG